GACAGTATGTAAAAAAAAAAATAGTGAAAATAATTTTTTTAATTTTTTCATTTTACGAAAAATTATGACAAAAAAATACAACTTCAAAAAACTCGCCATTCCTCTTATGAAGTACGTCGCACTGTCTACTTTACAAAAAGGGGGTCATTTGGGGGATATCTGTACTGTTCTGACATTCTTGCACCTCAAGAAATTAGATTGGCTGTCAGTATTTCAGGATTGATCAATATTCAGATCTATACCATAGTTTGTGAACTCTATAACTTTCCTACAAACTAAAAAATACATCCTAATTTGGGTTATTTTCACCAAAGACATGTAGCAGAATACATCTTGGCCTAAATTTATGAAGAACAATTATTTATTTGTAAACTTTTATAACAGAAACAAAGAAAAACGTGTTTTTTTTCAGAATTTTTTGTCTTTTTTTGTTAATTTAGCAAAAAATAAAAAACCCCGGCGGTGATTAAATACCACCAAAAGAAAGATCTAGTTGTGTGAAGAAAAAGATAACATTTTAGTTTGGGTACAATGTTGTATGACCGCGCAATTGTCATTCAAAGTGTGAGAGCGCTGAAACCTGAAAAATGGCCTGGGTAGGAAGGTGTAAAATTGCCCGGTATTGAATTGGTTAATTCATTTTTAAAATTCAAAGCAGACTCCTCCATCCATCCCCCATCTCCTTGCTTTATTTTGCTGAGAAATCACTTTGAAAAAACCCCCCTAGCATTTCTGGCCATGGACACCTTCATAGCTCCAAATGTCCCTCTTTCTTCCTCATTTGTCCCTCATTTTGGACTGATCTATATAGTTGAATATAAAATGCACTTTTTATCTTTCAAAAAGTATTTCCCAGTGCTAAGCCTTGCATCCAATTTCTAAATTGCTGCATTTGTAAATTTCAAAAGCCAATATAAAGAATAGAAGTGGTTAAAAAATAACTTGTGGCTTTAACTAATCATTTTATAAAATAATTTTCCTTTAAGGGGGTGTGGCAGGAGGTGTGTCCTATGCCTACATACCTTTGCTAATAGGTGTCCCACATTCCCATCTCAAAAGGTTGGTAGCTATGCATCTTGAGTAAGGGCAGATGATTTATGTAGCACTGACTTCCTGGAATCCATCTGCCCTTAGCTCAGACTTGCAGGCAGGAGGACATGCTTAGCTAAGAAAACCCCTCCTCCACTCAAGAAGGCTTCTAGGATGTATGACATCATTTGCCTAGACAAGAAACCCAGAAGTAACTGAAGAAATGTAAAAAAAATAGTTTTTCCTAGCTATTTACTAATGCTAGCAGCATAAGAATGAAAAATAATGATGTTGATTGACAGAGTGAAGTTCCACTTTAATCTGTGCCTCCTACCATAGAAGGCAGCATTAGGGATTTTTTTTAGGATAGCGTTGGGGGTCTAATTTAGCTGACAGACCTTAGGTGGTTAAAGTGGAACAGAAATGTCAAAACTGAGCTCGGGGCACAAAACCTTTCATTTAATTATATTCCTTGATAGCCTCAAAGGAAATAAATCCACTTTGTGTGCACCAAATGCCTTTGCAAACCCATATATTACCTTGGAAAAGTAGCAGTGACCAGACAGCAAAATTGTAGGAGTGACCCAGAAGGCTTCACCCGCTACAGGATGCTTGTAGAAAACTACAGAAGAGGGCAGAGACAAGACCAGTCATCCTGCACAAGGAGGCAGAGCAACAGTGACTGGTCTTTTTTACATGGAATAATACAAAAGAAGGAACACCTGATGTCCAAAAGAATGCACTTTTGATGGTATATTAGGAGGAACTTATGGAGAGTATCAACAAGTACATCAAGACAATGCGTATCTGGAGAAAAGACTCTCCCTTCTTCAGGGTTATTAAAAAAAAATACTAAAAATATATAGAAACACAAGTATATGAGAAAGGAAAAAAAAAAAAAAACTAGGTACATAAAAAACCCAAAAAACCCATATATATATTTATATATATATAACCTATATATATATATATATATATATATATATATATATAATAAAGTGAGAACATTATGTTGGTTATGTAGAGGCAAAATATCAAGGTAAAATATGTCTTAAAATTACAAAAAAAATTTAAATATATATATATATATATATATATATATATATATAAATATATAAAGTTCCGGATCATGATAAAAATGATCAGAATAGGAGTAATCAAAGTAGAAATAGAATCAATAGTAATAATAATGATGGCATTAGTAATTGTAATCATTGAGCTGAGAGGAAATAAATATGACAACAGACCCGATAAAAATTTAAAAGAAAAAAAAAATGAGAAAAGAAAAAGAAAGGTCTTTATTACAGGAAACTCCAGGATACAGGCAAAGTTTGACACTGGATTACTGCACAGATCTGGAAGAAATACAAAAAAAGCACACCGAGATTTAAAGAAGAATACACATGCCCCTTGTATTTAGACAATATTTGCCCCTCCCCCCCATACTCCCCAACACTAACAATAAAAAAAAAAAAAAAAAAAAAAACAGATCAAATGAATAAGTTGCTTGATTAGAATTGTAGTGGTCTACAGTACTGTATATTTCTACTCTCAGTTCCATTCTTAGGTTATAGAATTTACTACATATTATTTTCACCCTTATCACATTATTATTATTTTTTTCCATAATAGCTTTTTATTGGAGAAAACACATACAAAACAGAAGAATACACGAGTATAAAATGATAAGACAAAGTTACAGTAACAGATAGTCCATGGAGTGAGCAAAATCAGACAATAGAGTCACATGGCACTCCTAAAACTGATTTCCCATATGTGCATTACAACAGGCGTAGCATGAGGGTCCAGGAAAGGTGGGTTTATGATGGGCAGTAATCAGGGGCGGACTGACCATTTGGAAACTGGGGCACTGCCCGAGGGCCCGGGGTCAGTAGGGGGCCCCGTGAGATGCCCCTGGTACCTTTTTCATAGGCTTTTTTGAGTTTGGGCAAGGACACAGGGGCCCCATGATCCCCTATTGCCCTGGGGCCCCATGAGTTGTCAGTTTGCTCCTGGCAGTAATGTGTGCCTAGTGTACTCAAGACAGTGTAGATGAAAATCGAGACTGGGGTAGCAACTACAATTAGTATAAAGAGGCCGCTCGTCCCCAGTCCTTGGGTGGATACTTGCATTCAGAGGCTGTGGTTATCATGTTATTATTAACATCATTATCATGAAATAATTAAACATGGCTCCACAAGACAGGATGCAGAAATTTATATGTACAGACTTTCTAAATGATGCAACTAGAAACTAGAATAACAAAAATAAATGAACACTATATATTGCATAGGTTTTCCACTTGTGATCTATAGTCATTTTGACCACAAAAGTAATATCTGCAATATCAAAAATTCTCGACATTAATGAAAAGGGATTGTATAGTGCAGCAAAAGCTTTTTATCTGAGCACATCTATGACTTTACATTTTTATGAAAATAACAGCATAAGAGTGCCATCTAGAGGAAGTAATATTAAAAAGATATTTTCCAGATCAGATATTTAGAGTTGATGTACTAAAGTTTCACCGCAAATGTTTTGGCTTAGCTTCAAGCAGCCAACAGAGTTAAACGAAAAATTTTGACTGGGTGCTTCACACAAAAGGACGCTGATCTGGGGAACCTTTATTAAATTGTCAGATCGGACTAGAGGAAATAAGTAAAGAAGGATCACCATTAATTAAGCAACTACCATGCAGTTACCCTAGGTTCACACCTTTGCATGTTGTGCAGGCTGCGTTTGCATGGGCATGGCAGCCCATTCATTTGAATGGGCTGCCGGGCCTCGCAAAATGCAAGGAAAAAGTCCCTACACCTTTCCAGAAATCGCAGCCTGCTCTGGGAACTGTACTACAGTGCGGTTCCCAGTACGATTGCGATTTCCAGCGCAGGCAGCGTGCAGGTGGTTGCAGCTGTGGGATGAAATGTGGGTCCTGCAGTAGCTTCCACCTATACTGATGGAGGAGAGAAGAGACAAGAAGGCGCTTCTAAGTGCAGTGAGTCCAATAGGCTTCAACCTCCTCGGGGGTCTGATTATTTCCGATTTTTTTGTGCTGAAAGCAGTACCATTTTTTTTCATGGAAATATGTAGTTTTTTAATTGTAGGCCTGTAATTTTTAGGAATAACTCACTGAAATCTGTCCGAACAAGAGTCTAGTAAACATCCCGGGTATGTTAAAATTTGAAACACAAAATCATAAATTATAATTTAATAAATAATCATAAAAAATAATAATATAATAATTATAAATTTAATTCAATAATATAATCAAACCAAAAACACTGAAATTTGAAATACAGAGGCAAATTCGCACATCGCTGAGCAAAGTCGCAAAATCGTTTCCAGTGTCTGATGACGAATTTCCCCACGAATCATTATCACTCAATTCTGCAAGTGGTTCAGATTTACTATCACTGTTCTCTAGCTGGTCTAAAACCGCTTTTGACGTAAAGGGATGCTTTTTAGACGCCATGGACTTTTCTAAGTTTCCAGGCAGAAAGAACAGTCAAAATGCAGGCAGGGGACAGGACAGAGCACTAGGGACAAAATGTATGTGAAATGCATTTAAACAGCAATGTTTTACTATGTAATAATCATTTTTAAAAAAATTACATTTTTTAAAAAATTTCAAATTTGCCGCCGGTTCCAGCGCCCGTACGTCCTGACGTCACAGGGACCGGAACACGGAAACCGGATGCCGGCATCGGCCGGAGGAGATGGCTGGGGACGCTGCAGGGGACACATCATGGGAGCGAAGGACAAGGTAAGTGCTGCAGGGACTCCCTGAGCAACGCCGCATGGTAAGCCCGAGTGTAGCTCGGGGTTACCGCTCTTGGTGCTCAAATTTTACCCCGAGCTACACTCGGGAATACCGCTAAGGAGGTTAATAAGTACAGTTAAAAGTACTCCTTCTTCATGACCCAGGATCATGAAGAAGAAGCATTTGCACATGCTCTGAAATGCATCACCACCAGGGGAGGACTGACAACTCATGGGGCCCCTGGGCAATAGGGGATCATGGGACCCCTGTGTCCTTGCCCAAACTCAAAAAAGCCTATGAAAAAGGTACCAGGGGCATCTCATGGGGCCCCCTACTGACCCCGGGCCCTTGGGCAGTGCCCGAGTTTCCAAATGATCAGTCCGCCCCTGGTCACCCACCCCACGCTAATGTCACCTCTGGCTTGCGTTCCATCTGGACAGTGTGCACTCCAGTGTTCCCGGAAGAGTGGGGACCATCTTGGCACCTCATCCTGAGCTCCCTCTGCAGCTGCTGGCTGGCACAGTGGGCTGCTATACAGTGAGAAGAGCCCCGCACAATGATGTATCATTGAGGAACCTGTAAATTCTTCTATTTTGTAAATGTTTTTTACCGTACTTATTAAAGCCTATTGGACTCACTCAACTTAGAAGCTCCTTCTTGTCTCTTCTCTCCTCCACCCAGAGTCTGCTTCATACTCTCAGAAGTGATGCCCATTGCATGTCCCATTTACCATAATAACCAGCTGTCATCTCCCCATCCATCATCTTCTTGACAGATGTGCCCTATGAGCTTTTATTTTTGTCCAACTGCACTGGTGTGAATTGAGCCTAAAATCAATCTGTGAAAAAGAAAATCTCTTCTGCCAAATAAGCACATAACGATGGGGCTGATCTGGAAAAAACAAAGAAAATTGCAGCAAAATGAAACAATTACTTGTATCATTCTGATTGATTCTTTTGTTTCCTTTGACAGATGTAACTTGGTTGCTGCAAGAATATGGGTAAATCAGTCTCAATAGTGCTTCCAGTTATGAAACTAGGGGGAACTGCCACAGTTGACAGAGATCTGCTTCTTAGATTTTGTTAGTGATTGTTACCTCTCCTCTCTTTGGGCCCTTTTACACCAGGTTGCATTGCAGTAACACATGCACTGCAACACAATTTAAATGCATTGCGACACACTGTGTTACAAGAGACCATTCATTTTGTAGTGGTCCTGAATGAAGAAAAAGTGACTGCTGTTAATTATTTTATCTTTCAGCGCACCACAACCCTACACAAATTGTCATATGTTAGAAAAGTGCTGGAGTTCTTTGTCTCTATACTGGGTCTGGGTCAATGACAGAATGTAACAGCCAAGCAAATGGTATTTTTAGAAAGAAAGGTCAGCAATGGCACATGCACCTTAATCTACAGCACATACCAGAGTAATCTAAGATTGCTGGTTCACTGTGTTGGAAAAAGTCTTGCTTGCTGCATATTGACTGCGGTTTCCAGCAAAACACATCACATAAAAATAAATGATAACGCACACAAAATGTACCACACAATGCACTGCTCCCGCATCACACCAAAGCACATATAACTAGAGCCTACGTTGTAGCCATTTTACCCCCAGGCCAATTATGACACTTCCCACATACATGTAAAAATTTTGAAAAACTCCATAGAATAGAATGGTAATTGTTGCAATTTGTTATATGATATTTGTGCAGCTGTTTTTAAAATGCAAATTTTTAGGGAAAAATACACTTTGATGAATTTTAGTGCACGCAAACACAGTATAATATCCATTTTTTTGTGTAAAAATATATTAGATGATGTTATTCCAAGGAAATACATATGTAACATGTCACGCTTTAAAATTGCATACGCCGTGGAACGACAACAAACTACGGTACCTAAAAAATCTCCATAGGTGGCAGTTTAAAAGCCCTTACAGGTTACCATTTTAGAGTTACTGTACACAGGAGGTCTGGTTCTAGAATTAATACTCTGGCTCTGACATTGGTGGTGATACCTCACATGTGTGATGCGATCACTGTTTACATATGCATGCGGGACTTACTTATGCGTTTGCATTTGCGCATGAGCACCGGAACACATAGGAGCTTTAAAGTTTTTTTCTAATTATGTTATTATTTATTTTATTGGAAACCTTTTTTACACTGTCCTTTCAACTTTTTTTTAAATTAACTTTATTGCTATCACAAGGAATGAATAACATCCCTTGTGACAGCAATAAGCATGACAGGTTTTCTTTATGGACAGATCTCAGGTATGTTAGACCCCATATCTCTCCTATGCCCTGAGAGCACCTTATCAAAATGAGATTGGTTTGATCAGATGCATTACAAGCAGGGGTTGACTGACAACTCATGGGGTCCCCGGGCAATAGGGGATCATGGGGCCCCTGTGTCCTTGCCCAAACTCAAAAAAGCCTATGAAAAAGGTACCAGGGGCATCTCATGGGGCCCCCTTCTGACTCCAGGCCCTCGAGCAGTGCCAGAGTTTCCAAATGCTCAGTCCGCCCCTGATTACAAGTGGTTACAGCTTGTAAACATCAAACCAAAACTGAAAGTGACAATATCCTCACCACTTCTGGTTTCTCACATCACAGAGGTGTGATGGGTACAGATGTACCTTCCTCCCCTTCACTCCTTCTCAGCTCACTTCTACATGAAAGCCCATTGCCGGCTGAAGATTTTTAAATGCTTGCAGGTACAGGCATCATCCTGGTGTCCATCTGTAAGCTGTCAGCACATTGAACATACCTCTTCAAAGGAGTAATGTTATTTAACTGAGCTCAAGATTCAGCAGAACTAAATTTATACTCCGGTTTGTAAGTTTTTGTATGTAATCCTATAGATACTGTACAACAGTAATTTCAACGTCAATATTGTGGGCATTTGGCATCATCCTACATTCTGAGATCCCTCAAGACATTCAGTACCCTTGGCAAATACCAAAGATAAAAGTTGCACTGCAACTTTAGCATAGCATTGGAAAGGTCTAAAAATTTACCAAAAGCTCTTTGTAAAATTCTGGAAAAAGCAGAGAGCCGATTGGACACACAACAGGAGATTTCTAGGGATCTATAGGCAAGCACACATGTAGTGTTTTCATTGTAGGCATTGTTTTATTTTTTAGCAGTGTTAGAAGATAACATTATAGTTTGTGTAGCAATTCTGTTACAGTCATATAAAAAGTCTTCTTCAACATATTTGATTTGACAAACTAATATTAGATGTTTTATTACAGTACCTACAGATATACTTGAATAAGAACACAAGAAAAATTTTTCTTTTTAATCATTTATCCAGCAAAAAATATCAAATGATGTAATGGTGTAATGTAAAAGTAAGTACACCCTTGGCATTTGAAGCTAGTGTTGCATCATTTAACAGAAAATGTAATTTTGCAGACATTTCCTACTGGTCTTTGACATCAACTCATATTTTTGGTTATTTCTTCATGCAAAATTCCTATGCAAGCTGTTTTTTGGTTTCCTTGCACAAACTGCCATTTTAAAAATCCCCCTGCAAATTTTCAATGGAAATCAAATCAAGACTTTGACTAGGGCAGTCCATAACGCTCTTTTTGAGCCATTCCTTGGTGGATTTGCTAGTGTGCTTCTGTTCATTATTGTGTGGATAAGCTTAAATCTGGTTTACCTTCAACTTTTGAACAAATGGCTTTACATTCTCAGCAATCACACTTTGATATTATGCAGAATGTATAGCTGACCCGATGACTAGGAGCTATTGAGGCCCTAATGCAGCAAAGCAACCACGAACCATAATGTTTCCACCACCACCACTGCATCACAGTTGTTATGAGTTTCTTCTGAAATATCATTTTTGGTTTGTGGAAAAAATAAGGCTACTGTTACTGTGACTAAATAACTCTATCTTTGCTTGATCAGTCTTCAGCAATTGTTCAAGGAACAATATGGATCTTCACAAATATGTTCAATGGCAAACAGTAATCTTATCATAATGGTCTTTTTGGGCAGCAAAGGCTTTTTCTTAACACACCTCTCTTGCACACTAAATTGGTACAATATTTTTACTAATTGTAGATACATGCAATTTGAGCTCAAATGATTCCAGAGTTACCCATACATCCCCACAATTCAATTTTGAGGTTCTTTGAGATTTTTTTAAGCATTGTGTTTAATTTACTGGGTCGGTCAGTTGTGGACAAATTAGCAGTTGTTTAAATCTATGCTAGATTGTTCTCCTGGAATGATTGATTTCAAATAATTTGGGGATCTTTTTAAATCCCTTGCCAGATTCAGAGGCATCAACAACCTCCTTCTTGAGGGCCTTCAGGGCTCTATTTATTTTGGCATGATAACACCAAACGTCAATATCAAAGAGAACACCAGATCCTCGATATCCAAAGTGCAAGATACTCACTATGATGGTTCTAATCTGAAACATCCAATTCTAGTTTCATACAGTTGTGGTAAAGGAGGATGTGTGCTTCCTTTTTCCATATCACAAATCTGCATTTTCTTTAATTTAGATCATGAAATAATTGTATCTGTTATTTTTCAAATATATCATCTTTATCTGTAGACATTATTTAAATCAAGATACAATGTTTTGATTCCACTTCAACATGCTCTAAGGAGATCTTTCAGTTTTTGAACTAAAGACCTTCCAGGAGAGCGTTTGGTGATAATAATCATAGGTGCCCAGTTCACGTGCATAAATAGCCTTTACACGCTCTATAAGGTCCATCTCAGAAACCCATTTAAAAAGAGTTGGAGCCTGTGTCGATTTCCAGTGGTGCAAGGTAATGTTTAAAAAAAATGCCATAATATGTCTGTTTGAGAGTACCCAGAATAACAGAGAGCTCTGCTATCTGCGTGGAGAATTTGGTATAGTTACATCAATGATTTTCATGTACACCTCCAAGATCGAGGTCCAGAACCTATGAACAAGAGGGGAGGCCCACCAAATGTGGGTCAGGGTACCCTGACTCTGCTTACAATGCCAGCAGAGATCAGTAACAAATGGATAGAGACGATGAAGAAAGGTTGGGCTCCTGTATTACCTAGATAGTAAATTGAAACTAGCCTCATGGGCATTACTGGCTAAGGATAGATTGGGGGTAAGTATAAAGGATTTATTTCTGTCTTCCGATGAGAATGAAACATCAAGTTCTGTTGCCAAGTGGATTGTGTAATCAGGAAGATCACGATGTGCGCAACACACAAGGATGTTGTATATTACTGAGAGAGTACAATAAGGCATGGAGTCTCGAAGGAGCAGATCATCTAAGGGAGTTGGATCCCTAACCAATACATCCCTATTAGGTAGATTGGAAAATGAACAACACCAGACCAGGGGTGGACTGACAACTCATGGGGCCCCCGGGCAATAGGGGATCATGGGGCCCCTGTGTCCTCACCCACACTCAAACCACACCCAAAAAAGCCTATTAAAGGTACCAGGAGCATCTCATGGGGCCCCCTTACTGACCCTGGGCCCCTGGGCAGTGCCCGAATGCCCAAATGGTCAGTCCGCCCCTGCAGCAGACTATATTCCAACCAATGAGAAATGGACATAGATCCAATAGGGATGATTGAAGAAAGAGGGGGTACCATCCCATCATGTAAAAGTTTTAAGTGATTAGCTTCAGTTCAGAGCATATAATTTTTTCTCGTTCAGTATGTTTACTGAATGAACATAAAATAATATTAACAAAGTTCAAGGTCCAGTGCATAAACATTACGGAATTAGCACAGCATTAACAGGCATATGAGGAAATACAATATATTGCATGAAGGGAGGCTGCCAAAGACCTTGTACATGATGACGTTTAGAGGGTCTTGAAAAGACACAGAACATTAAATGAACAATAACCCAATATCCCAGCATATCATTTTTTTATTAACACAAAGTGAAATGTTCTATTCACTTGCAAGAGGTCACACTGACAAAATTTTTTTTATCTGTGTTGTGATTCAGTCTATTAGGTATGCAGTACACACATTGTCTTTTGAAAAAAAGCTAGTTTTTACTGCTGGTGTTCTACTAAAATGTGTAGAGATGAGCGAATCGAACCAGGCGAAGTGGAATTTGTTTCGAATTTCAGGAAAAATTCGGTGCCGAATCCGAATTTTAGCCAACTTCGGGTGCGCGATCGGATTTTTCCCGATCAGCCGCAAAAAGTGTCCCTGCAGAGAGCTCCGCTATTTCTGACAGTTCTCTGACAGTTCCTTCACATTTACAGCGGTTGAAACATTGT